TCATGGGTATGGGATTCTTTCCTCAAAGGGAAGTTTACTGTAGCAAGCTGGGGATAGGGACATGATGGAGCCTGCCAGCTCCTCTCATGTCTTCAGCTTCCTCCTAGAGTCTTATTCTCCCTTCAGCAACCTGAAGTGGGGTTGGCATCATCCATCTTCTCTGTTAAAGCTAGAAAGTCAGAAGCGCTTGAATAGGGGTGGGGAACCTGTGGCCTCGAGGCCACATATGGCCCTCTAGGTCCTCAAGTGTGGCCCTTTGACTCAGTCTAAACTTCAATTCAGTCAAAGGGGTGCATGAGAGGACCTGGAGGGCTACATGTAGCCATGAGGCCACAGGTTCCCCACCCCTGTCAGTTTGAAGATGCTACAGAACCCAAAAAGAGATTTTATTAAAATTTTTTGAATCTACATTCATTAATGTTATTAGTTTATACTCTTCTGTGTCTTGTCTTCCTCTGATTTAGGTATTAGGACTATAATTGCCTTAAAAAAGAATCTTGTAAGATATTTTTTCAAACTTTGAAAATAATTAAGGTAATATTAGTACCAATTTTTCTATAAAATTTGATAGAATTCTCTATCAGGACCAGGACTTTTTCGTTGGTTGTTCCTTAATAGATAATGTTGTTTGTTTTTCTGAGATCAGATTATTTATGATATCTATTTAGTAATCTGTTAGTTTGGGTATTTTATATTTGTAAGATATTCTTATATTTTCTTTTGTATTCTCAGATTTATTAGCATATAATTGTGCACAGTAGGTTCTGATAATTCTTTTTATTTCTTATTGTTTTGTTGTGATTTCACCTTGTTCATTTGTTATTTTGTTGGTTTGATTTTCTTTCCTTTTCTTTTTAGTCAGATTGGTTAAAGGATTATCCATTTTATTGTTCTTTTCTAAGAACCAGCTTTTAATTTTAACATTTTTATGTTTTTTTTTGGTCTTTCTTCCCCCATGGAAGTATTCATCAGTTGTACCCTCTCCCAGCACTGAAACATAAGATTTTTCTTTTATTTCCCTGTTTCAATTCTCTCCTTTCCTTCCTTTCTAATTTTCCTACAGGCTCTTTTCTTCCTGAGAAAATACAGAAGTTATTTTCCCTTCATTGTTAACCTTTGCTCGATTAAGCTACACAACAGACTCCTCTCTATTCTCTTCTTCCCCTCTTCCCTTTTAGGCATATTCCAATTCCGTAATTTAATCCCACAAAAACATTAAATCACCTGCAGGTGGGATTTGGGGGGGGGGGCTTAGTCCATTGTGTTTTAGTCCTGCTTCTCCACTTCTATTTGACTTCTGCTTTCATCCATCTGCTTGTGTAGTTTTGGAAAGAAATGATCTCTCTGTTGTTATTTTGTTGTTGGCCTTGGCTGTCATATTTGTTTACCTTTTATTCATCTCTGTTTTCTGGGATATTTGCAATACAAAAAATTTATTCGGGTCTGATTTTCTTCCTAGGAATGCTTTGACTGCTTCTTCTTTTATTTTAATTGAATGATCATCTTTTCTCGCTAATGGTTAGGTTCAAGTTTTCAGGGTATGAAACCTTAGGTTTCATGTTGAGCTCTTTTGACCCTTAGAACACATTCCATTCCCTCCTGTGGTTTTTGGTGGATGCACAATGGTCTTGCATTATTTGGACTTCCTTTCCTTTATATTTGAAGATCTTTCTCTTTTCTTTTCTTTTTTTTTTTTTGCAGAATTTATTTTTTGTCCTTGGAATTATTCAATTTAACACTATATGTCTTAGAGTTTGCCACATAGATTTTTTTCTTTTTTTCTGGAGGAATTTGTGGATTGTTTCAAATGGCACTTTGTTTTCTGTGTTCCAAAGTTCTGCGTAGGGTTTTGTATTGTTTCTTGTCTTACAGTGTTGATGTTTTTTGTCTTGTGTTCTTCTAGGAGATCTATAATCTTTAAATTTTCTCCATGCATCCTGCTTTTGAGATCAATGTTTTGTTGTTTTCCTTTAACGTTATTGCTTTTTGCCTTTATTCCAGATTTCACTTCTGTGTATTTTCCTTCCCAATAATTTCATTCTTTCTTTTGTTCTTTGGCAAGACTTGCCACAGTAGATTCAAGTTTTTTTCTATTCTGCCAATTATTTCTGCTGTGCAGAAAATAAATTCTACTTTCACAACTCTTATTTCTCTTTTAAACCATTCAGGAATATCCTGCTGTAGTTCTATGCTCTCTTAGGCATCCACAGGTATTCTCCCTCACCAGATACGGTTTCATTTTTCTTTGTCTCACAATATTTATTCATAGGTGTCTGGACTCACTTAGATGATCTGGAGGGCACATTCCCTTAGAGACAGCTGGTGGTGCAATGGATAGAACACTAGGTACCCAGATCACTTAGCAGGGAGGCCCCCATATGGGAGACACTACTGACCACTAGATGTGGACTATTCTACTTATGCAGCCAGTGGAACAGTTCACATCTTTAAAATCACCTGACTGGGACAATTTTGCTCTCTTTACAGAAGCATCCACAGGATGAAGGTCCTATTCACCCATAGCAAAGGCACCATGAAGTAATGTAGGTGAGAGGAAGGATTACTCACCCCTCCCTTTCTTAAATCTCTTTGCCCCCCCCCCCCAGTAAGCTTGGGGTTTTGCTCTGCTCCATTTTTCCTTTTCAGTTATAGGCAGCAGCAGTGGAGTCACTGGAGCTGGACTTGAGCCATGGCAACTTTGGAGGCAGGATTCCAGGCTAGATGTTGGTGCCAGCCCAGCAGGGGAGACCTCAGAAGCCAGAGTATCTGAGACTTACACCTAAGCAGGGCTTTGGATTTTGAACTTGGGGGGACTGTGCTATAGACTAGGAACTGAACTAAGCTGTGAACCTGATTCTCCTTCCCCTCTCCAGAGGCAGAAGTGATGTAGGGGAGGATTAAATTCCTTAGGTGTTGTGAAGAAATGTTTTTAAGTTTGTTCTTGCTTTGAAGTAAAAATTTCTTTGTAAAAGCTAATCCAACTATTTAGTGGTTAAACAGAACTAGGGGGCTGGGACCTCTAAAATTGGGGGAATGCATTGGTGGGGCCTTGATCCAATGCCAGAGAGACTAGACACTGCCAGTCCTCTTTAAGGGACCCACAGAACCCTGGATAGCAGTGAAATGTAACATAGCTGGACTTCAGGTAGTGGGGTCCAGAGTAGTCACTGTTACATGAATTTTTTTCTTCCTGAAATCCTTGGTAATTTCTGTCTTTTTTTTTCTTTACCTTTCCCTATTGGTCATTTTCTGACTCCTCCCCTTTTGATGGTGATTTCTCTGGGAACTGGATCTCAAAGTCAATTCAACTTTAAGCAACCACAGTCTTTACTTTTTTTACTTTTGGTGGGACAGAACTGGTCCTAGATGATTTTTGCACTCTCCCTCAGGCTCAGCAGAGTGCCACACAGATGTTTTCTGCCCTACTTCTCTTTTTTCCTGACTTCTTTGGCTAAATCTTATTATAGCTGTCCCAGCCAGATTAAGTTTCTGCCTTTTGGTTTTTCCCTGCCCTGAAAGATAGGGTGCAGGTATGCCTGTGCATCAGAGCTTGCACAGCTCTGCTAAATGCGAGAGGCATGTTAGAGTTCAAGGACTGGCCTTCTATTTGAACCCTAATTAGTTAATTGAATCCTTATTGAACCCTATTAGTTCGTTGGGTTTTTTTTCCCCCGCATTGGGGTTCTTAGTGTCCCGGTTCATGAAGACAGCTGAAAATGCTTTGTCTCTTGCATATAATTTTTGTGTTGGAGAGATTTTAAAAATTGTGAGGATTGGGGGGAAAAAAGTCTAGTTTGCCATCTTGTTGGTCATGTGACTTAGATATTTTCCTACTGCCTCTCAAGTAAAACTCAGCTTCCTTCCTCTGATATTCAAGAATGTCTACAATCTGACACTATTCTGCCTTACCAGCCTTACTTTTTACTATTCCCTGTAAGTCTATTTACACTGTTCTTTTCCAGTATGCTTATTCCTTACATCTTTCCTTATTCACTGATACAATGGTCACATGGTTAGATTGCAACCTAGATTTTCTGATTCTACTATATCAGGTTGAAGCTAATGGCCTCTGGAGTTTCCTTCCCTTCTTAGATTCTGATTCTAATAGAATGGAAATTGGTTGAAAGGAGGCCCAGTAGTAGTTTTGTTATTTGGCTTAATAGCACCTAGCAGGTAAGGCTGGTACCTTTAGAAAGTAAGCAGCTTGAAGGCAGGGACCAGCTCTCTTCCTGCTTGTATTTGTATTTCCAGTGCTTAGCACAGTGCCTGGCAGTCAGTCAATAAGCATTTATTAAACCCCTACTATTTTTTGGGGGGAGGACAGCGCACAAAAAGCTGGAGATAGAAAGAAAGGCAAAAGACAGTCCCTGCCCTCATGGAGTTCAGTAGTAAGTGCTTAAAACATGCTTGTTGACTTAGCAAAAAGAAGGTGCCTCACAAATGACTAATAGTTGGGGACTGGGCAGTTGGACCCTAGAGCATTTGAGAGACTGTCTAGGTGCCCCACACTTTAAGGGGAAAGGAAGGAGGCTGTGAGAGGGGTGTGCTGTCATTTGGTTGGGGGAGGACTGGATCAGAGTCTAGAGAATCAGGCAATGCTAGAGCTGGAAGTGACCTTAGCAATCACCCCGGCCAACGGCCAACCACAATCCTTTTAGGGATGGTGAAAGAGGGCAGGAAACGACGTCCTGCAGCCTTCCTAATGTAGGCCTTCTCAAGGGTTGGGGAGGAGAAGAAGGAGGCGAGGAAGAGGGGCAGCGGGAGGGGGAGGGGGAGGGGGAGAGGAGAAAGATGGAAGCACTACTAATCTGTCGGGGGGTGTGGGGGGGCGGGGCTGTCATTGCGCATGCGTGGAAGCGCGCGCACGCGTGCAGTCGCTGGGGCGCAGACCGTGGCTTGGAGCTGGCAGAGGGGGGTTGGGGGAGGGGGAGGAGGAGGAGAAGAGTTACTTTTTACCCCGCCCCTCTTGCCCCACCCCGCTCAGTGCGTGCGACGTGACGGTTTGCCCAGGCACCGTCAACCCTACCCGGGGGTGAGAGCGCTTTCGGGTCCCATGATGCATCGCGTGCCGCGTCTCGCAGAGCGGCGGCTTCCAGCTCAGCAGGTAGGGCCCCGACCTTGGCCCTCCGCCTCCGACCGAGGGCCCTGGCCCCACCCTTCTCCTCTCCGTCCCAGCCCGGCTGCCCCCAGCTCTCCCCTGCCGTTCGTTCCCGGCCTCCTTTCCCCATGTCGTGTGACTCTCCAGGTGACTGGAGCCTCACTCCCGCCCGGGCCCCACCCGCGTCAGCGACCCGGCGTGGTGAACGGGGTGGGGGCAGGAGGAAGGGGGAGAAGTGTGTGTGTGTAAATCATTGTCGCAGCCTGTAGTGTGAAAGCTTGCACGGGAGACTGTAAAGCCCTGCATAGATGGGAGCAGCTGGCACGTCATTTAGTTCTGCCTCCGTTTACAAAGCGTCAGTTTAATTTAGTAAACATTTATTAAGTGCCTGCTGTATGCCAGGCACTGGCCATACAGAAAGAGGCAAGAGGCTGCCCCTGCCTTCAGGGTGCTTACAATCTAATGGAGGAGATAACATGCAAACAGCTATCTACAAAGCAAGGAAATAGTTAAAAGAGAGAAAGCACTAGAATTAAGAGAGGTTATTAAAAGCTTCCTGTAGAAGGTGGGATTTTCGTGACTTGGAGGAAGCCCGGGAGGTCAGTAGTTAGAGCAGAGGAAGGAGAGCCAACAGATGGGGGGGTCTTGTTGTGCTTGTTGGAGGCCGCTGTCGCTTGGGGAGGAAAGTGTAAGAAGACTGGAAAGGGGGCGAGGTCATTGAGGTCATGACGGGCTTTGATTTTCAGACAGAACATTTTGCATTTGCTCCTGGAGGCCAGAGGAAGCCCCTGGAGCTTATTGAGTCGGGGAGGGGGTGCGGCGGGGGTGACAGGAAGCTCCGTGCAGGGGCCACACTTTGTACTGGGTGGGTTGGTAGGTGGGTGTTGGAAGACGGAAAGAAGACACCCCTGCTTTCAAGGAGCTTGGAAGTCAGCTGGTGGGATTGAGGCCCGGGAAGACAAACTTAAGTCATGATGATAGGGCAAGTACAGTTAGAGATCAAAGGAGAGGTCCAAGTACGGGGTGCCTCAGAAGTTTTCGTGCAGTTTCAAGTTGTTAAAAGCATGTATTTAAAGTTATTAAAGCAGCACCAGCCCTGGAGTCAGGAGGACCTTAGTTCAAATGCGGCCTCAAGACTCTGGGCAACTCACTTAACCCCAATTGCCTCACCAACAAAAAAAAAAAAAAAAAAAATTACAAAAAAAGTTAAAGTTATTAAAGCTTAAAACTTCCGTAAGACTTCTGGAACACTTGGTGTAGTGCTTTTCAACTCCTCAACTTGAATGTGTGAAGCACAAGTACTGCTTGGTACTTGCTCTGCTGGGCAGAGATACAAAGATAAACCCTGCCCTCAAGGAGTTTTTATCGTGAGGAGAGGGAGGAGCGGAGGAGTAGCAGGTATATAAAATAAGTATGAAGAAAATAGATTAAAGTTAAATACAAGGTTAATTTTGGGGACAGTTAGGGGGGAAAAGGCATTTGCTATAATAAAGGAGCCAGAAACTAACTCGTGTGACTAGGCTGTTTTGAGGGAGGCTTTTCATTTCAAAAGACAGATAAGAAGGGAATGCGTTCTAGGCCTGCAAAGGCACCAGATTTATTAAAAGCATATATTGTAATTTGTAACAGCCATAGAGCAGGACCATAATATCGTTAACAGGACCTCACATTTCTGTAGCATTTTAATAATACCTTCTCAAATCTCCTATGCACCCTGGCACCCCTCTCTCCCCTGCCGTCCCACCTTCTCTTTCAGCTGATAACTTTGCCTCATATTTTACTGAAAAAATTGAGGCCCTGCCTGGAGCTCTGTCTACTTCCCTCCTCTTCTGACATCGCTGAAATGCTTTTTGGCGTTTTCCATCATTCACCCTTGTCTCCTCCTTGCCAAGGCAAAGCCTTCTTCAAACACAGGTGATTCCCTTCCACCCCTTCCCACCCTCTTCAGCAGATTGCCCTCTCTGTCATCCCCATTCTCTAATGTATTTTCAGTCTCTCCCTGTTTACTAGTTGCTTCCCCACTGTCTACAAACACACCCATGTCTCTCCCTCAGAAAACTCTTATTTAATCCATACATCCCTGCTGGATAGTATTCTATGTAATTTTTCTTTTTTGGCTAAACTCATTGAGAAGGCTATTTAGAATTGATGCCTCCACTTCCTTTTCTCTCACTTTCTTCTTAGCTCCTCATCATTCAACTGAAACTTTTCTCTCCAATTATTTCTTAATTGTCAGATCTAAGGGCCTTTTCTTAATCCTTATCCTTTTTTACCTCTCTGCAGCCTTTGATGCTATTGATCATCTTCTTGATACTCTCTTCTCCCTGGGTTTTCATGACACTGTTCTCTTCTGATTCTCCTACCTGTCTGACTGCTCTTCTCAATCTGTTTTTTTAGTTATTTATCCAAGTCATGCCTAACTAACCATAAATGCCAAGGCTTGGTCCTAGGGCCTCTTCTCATCTCCCTCTTTACTGTTTTGCTTGTTGATCTCATCTTCTCCCTTAGCATCAACTGCCATCTCTGCAAATGATTCTCAGATTTATCGATCTAGTCCTAACCTCACCTGACTTTCAGTCTCTCATCTCCAACTGCCTAGTGGACATTTCAAACTGAATATTTTGTAGACATCTTAAGCTTACTGTGTCCAAGAATGAACATATCTTTCTCCCCAAACCCTCTTCTCTTCCTATACAACCTAGGTATCATCCTTGACTCCTCTTTCACTTTCTCCCACCCCTAACCCCATATCCAATCAGTTGTTGAGTCCTGTTATTTCTGCCTTTGTAATCTGTCTCTTATGTGCCTCATTCTGTCCTCTGATACTGTGCACCAAACATGGTACAGGCCCTTATCACCTCATGCCTAGACTTGCAGTAGCTTGTTAGTGTGTCTTCTTCGGATCTTTCCCCACTACAGTCTCCACCTTCAGCTGTCACATTGATCTTCCTAAAGTATTACATATCACTCAACCTCCTACCCTGCTTCACTCCGTCAACTCCAGGGGCTCCATAGTACCTCCAGGATCAAATGTAAAATCTTCTGTTTGGCTTATAAAGCCCTCTGTGACCTAGCCTCTTCTTACCTTTTTGGTACTATTACTTACAACCCTCTGTGTACTCTGTAATCCAGGGACATTGGCCTCCTTGCTGTTCCTTGCACGTGATACTCCCTCTCCCTGCCCTGAGCATTGTTACTGGCTGCCTCCCATGCCTCACTCTTTCCCTTCTCATCTCCACCTCCTAGTTTCCTTGGCTTCCTTCAAGTCTTACTTAAAATCTCACCTTCTGAAAGGAACCTTTCCCAGTGTCACTTAATGTTAGTGCCATTTGTCCATTGATTGTCTCCAATTTTTCCGTTTATGTCTTGTTTGTGCGTAGTTGTCTTAGACTATATGCTCCTTGAGAATAGGGACCATTTTTTGCCTGTGTAGTTCCACTGCTTAGCACCACATCTGGCACATAGTAGGCACTTAATAAACTTAATAACTCTAATTGACAAAGCACTTTGAGGGAGATACTACAAGCATTTGCAAATAAAATTGAGTCTCAGAGAGATTAAATGATTTGCTCAGTGCCATAGAGTCTAGTAGATGTGAGAGCCAGGATTCAAACTGAAGAATTGAACTCGGGTGTTCTGCTACTGCTCTTTTCACAACACCAACCTCATTACAGCATCTTACCTTTCCTTCCTTCTCCATTTTCTAACTTCCTCAAAGAAAGGAATAGGACTAGAGTGGGAAGCATTTGTAACCATACATTGAGTGACGTCGTGTAATATGGGTTCTGTGATTGATAACTAAGCCCAGAATTACAACATATGTGTGAGTGAAGATGTGGGCACAAGAGGTACAGTAAGAGATGTCATGTTCCTGAAGTTCAAGTTAAAGAAACTGGTTCTGGGAAAAATGTTTTATATATCATCTAAGACACTGAGAGTAGGATTGTGTATTTCACCTTGTCCTTTGGTATATTTTTGGAGTGTAGTCTTTTATTAAGATGAGGATTCTGCCTGATCTAATTTTGGTGATTTCCACTCTTGATTCTGTGAAACCTCTGGAGACTCACTCAGCCTTAAGTGTCAGTTATGGGATTTCTAGATGTGGCACAAGGGAGACATAAAAAAATTAACTTTGCAGTCATAGGAAGATCCTGAAGTGGCTGAATGAACCTGCTGATGGACAGTATTTTTTGTTTTCTATAGCTGTGAAACCAGGGCACAGGACTTTTATACAGCTTTTTTTAGTGATGGGTAATTCAGTATTGAGGGAATGAGGAGTTAGCTCCCCACTGTTGCTTATGTAATAATAAGTTGACATACTACTTTGGAGTTTACAAAAATTACATCAGTTATCTAATTTGAGGCACCCCCCCAAAAAAACCAAACAAACAAAGCAAAACCTTATGAGTTAGGTATTACAGGTTTTATCTACATTTTACAGAGAAGAAAGGTGGGGCTAAAAGGTTGAAATTTGACAGTAGTCACATAACTAGTGTTTGAGGTGGGAATTGTTCTCAGCTTTCTTCTGATCCCCTAATCCAGTGTTCTTTCCTCTACGTTGCCTGCCTCCATGTAGTCATAGAAAAGTCCTTGTCTGGGCCTGGAGTCAGGAAGACCTGAGTTCAAATTTGGCTTCAGACACTTAATAGTTATGTGACCCTGGGCAGTCACTCAACATCTATTTGCCTCAGTTTCTTCATCTGTAGAATGAGGATAATAAAATAACACCTATCTGGCAGGGTTGTTCTGAGGATCAAATGAGATAATAATTGTAGAGCACTTACCAAGTGCTGTGTAAATATTAGCTATTATTATTCCCACCCATGGTTGAGAGGATCAAATGAGATAATATTTGTGCTTAGCACAGTGCCTGGAACATAGTAGGTGCTTGTTGTTCAGTTATGTTTGACTTTTTGTGACTCTATTTGGGATTTTTGTGGCAGAGTATAAACTCCACAGCAGTGGAGTGCTTTGCCATTTCCTTCTCCAGCTCATGTTACAGATGAGGAAACTGACACAAACAGGGTGAAGTGACTTGCCGAGGGTAATATCACTGATAAGTATCTGAGGCCAGATTTGAGCTAGTGAAGATGAGTCTTCCAAACTCCAGGCCTGCCACTCTAGCCACTTCACCAACCTGCTATATCCTTATTTCCTTCCTAGTCCCTCTTCAGACTGTTACTGGTGGGGAGGTCTGCCATGAATTTGGTGCAGGATGATTCTCCTTAAGTTAGCACTAGAGCCAAGTGCCTCTTGTGTGAGTGAGCAGCTTCCTTTGTTTTGTTTTGTTTTTGGAGGGAAGGAGTCAAAAACAAGAGAAATGGATACAATCAAGACTTTTTACCAAAAATTGTGAGCTTCTGGAGCCCTGGACAGAAATTGCAAAGTAGGTAAAACTTATCTTTAGAACTTTTAGGGAAGATATTTTGGTTAACTGGCGAGGGAAATGGAGTACTTTCCTGGTTTTCTTTTTCTACCATTGGCCATAATCACCAACTAATTATGTAGGAAGAATAGGGTCATGTTTTATTGGGAGGGACAAAACCGAGTGAGTAGGGTATACAGGATAATTTGAGGTGGGAGAGAATATTAACTTTTAAGAGAAGTGAGTGTCTTTGATTTGCCACTGAAATTTTGAGAGGTTACCAGTCTTTGGTCTATTAGCTTTATATTATGGAAATTGCTTAACTCTGTTACGGAAAAGTAATTCCCAGTAGTTATTGCTGGGGAAGGAACTCCAGGGTAGTGTATGACTTCTCAAAATTAGAAGGGTCTTCAGAAATCATCTAGTCCAACCTATTCACTTGGCCAATCCAGCCTTTGCTCAAAAACTTACAATAAGAGGAGACCTACTACTTAAAGGAAGCCTATTTGTTAACTTTTGGATAGCTCCAGCTGTTAGGAAATTTTCTTTACACCAAGCCTGCATTTGCCTTTTTTTTTTTTTTTTTTGGCTACTTCTACCCATTTTTCCTGTTTCTGCCCTCTGGGGCTGAACTTAACTAATCTGATTTCTTTCACATGATAGCTATTACATCAGTCTCTTTTTTCTCCATCCACTCTCTTGTCTAGGTTAAACACTCTCAGTTCATTCATTTGATCCTTGTATGCTGTGAACTTGAGTCTTCTCTCTTATTTATCTCTTCAGCTCCACAGATTCATTTAACTGTACGCATAGCTCCCTAATCTGTATATCCAGCCCTAATCTCTCCTGAACTCTAGTCTCCCATTGCCTACTGGACATTTCCACACTCCATTAGCACAGGGATTCTTAACCTGGGGACAATGAACTTTTTTTTTTCTCTTAATGCTATTATTTTATGCATTTAGAAACATTCTGAGGAGTCCATAGGTTTCACTAGACTGTTCAGGAGGTCCAGGGGGCGGAGCCAAGATGGCAGAGTTAAAGCAGTGGTTTGCTTGAGTTCTCCCTCAAACTCCTCCAAATACCTGTAAAAAAAAAATGGCTCTAAACAAATTCTAGAGCAACAGAACCCACAAAAAGACAGAGTGAAACAAATTTCCAGCCCAAGACAACCTAGATGGGTGATTAGAAAGGTCTGTCTCGGCTGGCTGGGAGAGGAACCCAGTTTGGTGTGGGCACAGGTAAAACGGGCCTCATCGAACCTGGAGCAGGCCTCAGAGGACTGAATCATGGGCAGCTGTGATGGTTTCCAGACTTCTCAACCCACAAACACCAAACACACCTTAGAAGGTCGGTAGGAAAAGTCTGTGACTGTGGTGAGAGAGAAGCGAGGTTCCAGCCCCGGCTGCTTCTGGAGCATCCAGCCCACGGACTGAGGGGGAATCAAGTTGCTGATCAGAGGGGGATTGCAGGGGTCTCTTGCTGGTGCTGAGGCAGGATTCTCTTGCTTAGCTTGTGCTTGGATCTGGGTCACAGTTCTGGGTGGCGATCCTGGCGTGGTGGAGCTTGTAATGGTGGTGGAGAGGGAATCTTCCTCCCAGTTTCAAGGCAGAAAAGAGTGCTTGTGGTTACTCATAGACCAGAGCAAAGGCCAGGAAAGGAGTAAACACCTCACCTTTGATCATACCACCTTGGGAGAACTGAAAACTTACAGGTTCCTAGAATTATCATCTCCTGTGTCTGTGCTTTTACACAGGCTACACAAAACCCCCAAAGCTTGGGACAGTATATTCTCCATGTTGGAAGCAGAACCCTACCTTAACAAAGAGTTTATAACTCAAGTAATTGGCTGGGATCATGAGCAAACAAAGGCGCAAAAAAAGTCAGACCATAGAATGTTTCTTTGGTGACAAGATCAAAACATTCAACCAGAAGAAGACAACAAAGTCAAAGCTCCTACATCCAAAGCCTCCAAGAAATATATGGATTAGTCCTAGGCCATGGAAGAGTTGAAAAAGGATTTTGAGAAGCAAGTAAGAGAAATAGAGGAAAAACTGGGAAGAGAAATGAGAGTGATGCAAGAAAATCATGAAAAACTAGTAAACAGCTTGCTAAAGGAGACCCAAAAAAATACTGAAGAAAATAACACCTTAAAAAATAGCCTAACCCAAGAGGTCTAAAAAGCCAATGAGAAGAATGCCTTAAAAAGTAGAACTGGCCAAATGGAAAAGGAAGTCCAAAAGATTACTGAAGAAAATACTTCCTTAAAAATTATAATGGAGCAATTGGAAGCTAGTGACTTTATGAGAAATCAAGACATTGTAAAACAAAACCAAAAGAATGAAAAAATAGAAGACAATGTGAAATATCTCATTGGAAAAACAACTGACTTGGAAAATAGATCCAAGAGAGATAACTTAAAAATTACTGGACTATCTGAAAGCCATGATCAAAAAAAAAGATCCTAGACATCATCATTCAAGAAATTATTCAGGCAAACTGCCCTGATATTTTAGAACTAGAGGGTAAAATACAAATGGAAAGAATCCACCCATCATCTCCTGAAAGGAAAACTCCTAGGAATCTTGTAGCCAAATTCCAGAGTTCCCAGGTTAAGGAGAAAATATTACAAGCAGCCAGAAAGAAACAATTCAAGTATTATAGAAACACAGTCAGGGTAACACAGGATTTAGCAGCTTCTACATTAAGGCACCGCAGGAATATGATAGTCCAGAGGGCAAAGGAGATAGGATTACAACCAAGATTCAACTACCCAGCAAAACTGAGCATAATCCTTCAGGGGAAAAAATGGACATTCAGTGAAATAGAGGACTTTCAAGCATTCTTGATGAAAAGACCAGAGCTGAACAGAAAATATGACTTTCAAATACAAGACTCAAGAGAAACATGAAGAGGTAAACAGGAAGAAATATCATATGAGACTTATTAAGGTTGAACTGTTTACATTCCTGCATGGAAAGATGCTATTTGTAACTCAAGAGACCTTTGTCAGTATTAGGGTAGTTGGAGGGGAAAAAATTATATGTACATTTATATAGATATAGATAGATAGTTAGAGACAAGGTCAAAAGAGAGAATAGAATAAACAGGGGGTGGGATAGGATGAAGGGAAATATAGTTAGTTTTTCACAACATGACTACTCTGGAAGTGTTTTGCATGACTACACATGTATAACCTGTATCGAATTGCTTCCCTTCTCAATGAGGGTAGGTGGGGAGGGAGAAAGGAGAAAATTTGGAACCCAAAGTTTTAAAAATGAATGTTAACAAAAAATTGTTTTCACATGCAACTGGAAAATAAGATATACAGGAAATGGGGTATAGAAATCTATCCTGCCCTACAGGAAAATTGAAGGGGAAGGGGATAAGAGAAGGGGGGGCCAGAGATAGAAGGGAGGGCAAATTAGGGAAAGAGGTATTCAGAATGCATGCCATTTTGGGGTGGGGGGAGGGATGAGATGGGGAGAAAATTTGGAACTCAAAGTATTGTGGAAGTGAATGTTGAAAACTAAAAATAAATACATTAAAAATAAATTAAATTAAATTTAAAAAATTTTTAAAAAGAGGTCCATAGCACATAAAAGATTAAGAACATTAGCATCTAAAACTCAGCAAACGTATTCATAATTAGACTCATCATTCCCCCAAATTTACTCCTCAAAACCTTGTAAGATGTTTGAAGATTAATTCAACCTTTTAAATACTTTGAAGGAAAAAAAATCTACCAGCCTGCCAAAGATTTCCCAAAACTATTACATTACTTGGACAAAACTATCTGTTGTTATATATAAGATTTGATGCATGTTGTTGATTCTTGATAGCCTGAAAAGGAAAATATACAAAACAGGACATTATCTTTCCTCCAACATCCTCCCCTCTTAGAGCACCACCATCCTCGCCATTGAGATTAAAAAGCAAATTCTGGAACTCTCGTTCTCTTTTACCCCTCCTATCCAATCAGTTGCCAACTCTTACCAGTTTTAGTTCTATGACATATCTCACATTTGTTTCCTCATTTCCACAGTCACTGTGATGTTTCATGTCTTTGTTGCCTGTCTCTTGGAATATTGCAATAGATCCTAATGATTTCCCAAACCTCTAGTCTTTTCCTTTCATTCTGTCCTCCATAAAACTGCCAAATTGATAATCCTAAAATACCAGTCTGACCATGTCATAGCCCTAATCAATACACTCAGTGACTTCCTCTTTCTAGATAAAATGCAATTTCTGTTCGGATTTTAAAGCTTTTTACAGTCTGACTCTGGTTAACTTTTCTGGGTTTATTGCATGTTACTTTTCTTCATGTTCTGTGCATTTCAGTCAACAGCTTGCTTGTTGTTCTTTCATACATATAACATTCCATTTTCTGTCTCCCTTCCTTGGCACAGGTGTTTTCCATCATTCTAGAAATATACTTCTTTCTTATCTCAGCTTCGTAGAATTCCTGGCTTCCTTGAAAGCTCAGCTCAGCATGTGCCTCCTCCTACAGGAAGCATATCCTAAATTCTCCAGTTTCCAGTGTTCTTCTCCTGAAAATTATTGTATATATTTTGTATTATTTATATGTGTTCATGTTGTTATAGTGTGTGTCCATTCATTTCATCTCCCTCAATCCCCCTTCAGGAACTGTTTCGGTTATGTCTTTAGTACTCCTAGCACCTAGTATGTTATGTGGCACATTAAAGGCTTTTTAAATAAACGTTGCTGAATAAATGGATAAATGCTTAATTTTAGACTATGGGTAATATTTGATCTTGTAATCTTTGTAAAATGTATGTAAAATTAAAAATATTATAAAAATGATATGATTTATTTAATAAATAAAGTAATTGATAAATAATAATAAATAAAAATTAATAAATAAATAAAGTAATATTAAAACAAATACTTCTTTGACTTTTGAACTGTCTGATTTTTTTTTTTAGGTTTTTTCTGTTTGTTGAAATGTCTATGGTTTTATCTGCTTCAGTGGTTCGTGTGCGAGATGGATTACCGCTTTCTGCTTCTACTGATTATGAACAAAACATGGGAGTGCAGGAATGCAGAAAGTATTTTAAATCACTCTCGAAGAAACTTGGTCAGCTTCCTGATAGATGTACACTGAAAACTGGACAATATAATATTAAGTAAGACTTATGCTTTGTGCATTAAAGTATTTACCTGATTGTCATTTTAATGAAGTTTAAGTAGTTCTGATTCAAATTTGTGTTTTAATAAATTCTCAAATGGATCCGTGATCTCATCAATTTGGATGTTTGTTCCAATGATGTAGATCACAACCCATCTGTACTTGCCCATACTCTACTGCTCTTGTCCATGTCCTACAATAAATTCATAGCAGGAGAGGTCCACCCAATGTATTAGAAGCCTTTCACAGTTTCTCCTGGCATTTTAAGTATCTGATTATATTAAGAAAGTTCAGGATAATTCACATCAACAACCATCTGATCCTGAGTCAACTACAATAAATTTAGAAATCATTATTCTTTCTTTGGAATCTCTCTTACTGTTCCTAATTTACATTTGGCTTTTTAAGAGATTTAATTTTAGTGGATTACACATTTTCCTTTCTGTAAGTGAATAAATCAAGGATTTATTGAGCATTTACTCTATGTCCCTCGTGCTCAGTGCTAGGGGGAGGTGGGTGGTCCAGAGAAGTCTTGGGTTTGCTGCCAAGGAGCTTACAATGATAATAGTAAATGAGACAAAACTAAAGTGAATAAAATTGTTATAAAACGTGATGATGCAAACTGCAATTCAGTACAACAAATTTCTATTAAATACCTCTCATGTGCAGAACACTTATGTTGGATGCTGGTTACTACTGTAGTAGAAGCTTGGGAAAAGATTAGGAGGTAGTCAAATTAAAATTACATTGCTGTTTTGTATACTTCAGTTTAATTTGACACGTGTGATACTGAGGTTTTTTTAGGGGAAATAGCAGTGTAAATAAAGTGGGAAAATATATACTGATCTGCTTGAGTATATCCTATTATCAAGTGAGATTATTGATGGACAGAAAAATCAGGGAATGACTTTATTAAGGAGGTGAGAATGATTTGCATCTTCATGGATGGGTACAGGTCTGGATTTAAATAGATAAAGGAAAGGTGCTCTGACCACAGCAGCAGCAGGTGAGTTAACTACTCTCTCCCTGTTTAGAGTGCTCTGATACTGGTGTGTACGTGGGTTTATGAGGAGCTTGTCCCATTTGAAGTGGAGAGGACTTGCTATAGAATGAGAAGTAAAGATGAGTAGAATGGGGCCAGAAGCCAGACTGTGGAGTTTGTACTTGATACAGCAGGCTGCTATTACAGTTTCTCAAGCAGGAGAATGACAGTAAACACAGTGTATTAGGAAAATTAATCTAGCAGCAGTATCTAGGATGTATTGAAGGTGGGGAAAAGAAAATAGAAGTGAGGAGTCAACTTGGATGCTGTTAATATGCTCTAATATATAAGCCCACACAGTTGTAGCACTAAGGCATTGTTGATGATTATGTTTTCCCATTTTTGGTTTAAAAATATGGTTGTTGTTGCAATACAGAATGAAAGATGATTCTTGGGGGCCCCTAGGTGGTGCAGTGGATAGAGCACTGGCCCTGGATTCAGGAGGACCTGAGTTCAAATGTGGCCTCAGACACATAACACTTACTAGCTGTGTGACCCTGGGCAAATCACTTTACCTCATTGCTTAGCCAAAAAAAAAAAGAAAGATGATTCTTAAGTTTCTGGCCTGGGAAGACTGGAAGAAAAGTGATATTATTAGCAGAAATGGAGCAGTTAGGAAAGGGAACCTTTTTGGAGAGAAAGATCAATTCATTTTTTAACATGAGTCGAATGGCATTATGAGGTAGTAGAAAGAGTACTGTCACTGTGTCAGAATATCTGGTTTCTAGTTCACCTCTGCTACCATTAGCAGTGTAATTTATGGCAATTAAAAAAAGCTTCTTTGGCACTTCATCAGAAACAAAAAAGTGAAACTAGGTGATTTCCAGTATGTCTTCTGACTAAAAAAAAAAATGTAGATTCAGTGATTCTCTTAAGTTTGAAGTAGTACAGGATATTCAAGTGGAGATACTCTATAGACAGCTGGAAATAATGGAATCTCAGTACATGATTGAAGGCTACAAATAGTAGTTAGAAATTAATCACCCCTGGAATTAAGTCGTGGTTGCCCCCACAAGAGTGGCCGAGTTCAGTTAAGTATAGAGAGGAAGGCGTACGGCAAAGGGAATAACCTTTGGTGACACCTGTAGTTTTAAGATCCTGTGATCAACTGTAATGCTTAGTAATGGTATATATCTTAAGTTTTATGAAGGTAGAAAAAGTTATTTCAACTCATGTAGTTGACAGTCTTTCTAAAGTAATATATTAAGGGGCAGCTAGGTGGCACAGTGGATAGAGTACTGGCCCTGAAGTCAGGAGGAACCCGAGTTCAAATCCGGCCTCAGACCAAACACTTGACACTTATAGCTGTGTGACCCTGGGCGAGTTACTTAATCTCATTTGCCTAAAATAATAATAATAATAATAATAATGATATATTAATCTACTTTCTAGTAAGTACAGCATTCTGTTTTTTGTTTTTTTAAGTTCAGGTCTCGAAGTTTCTTGGATTATAGCATTGTTACCAATTATCGTTATGTAAAACTGTAGCTATACATAGAAAAGGAACTGGAATGAATGTGTATTGACTTTAGGGCCAAAGCCTGGAATGGAATACTTCTTTACCCTAAGCAGAATTTGAAAATTGTACCCTCCTCTTCCCTATACATTTCTACTGCTCACCAAGATGCTAGGCTTACTCTAACACATGCAGCTTGACATACCAAAAAATAAAAACATGTATGCTGGAGTGAAATTTTCTGGCATTAAAAGTATGTACATTTGTGAAAAAAAATAATATCAAGAAGTGTTCTCTGTTGTGTCCTGTGTGTTGGATCTTAGGCAGCTGCCTACTTTGCCTGCTTGTGGTTCCAGCTTTCCCAGGACTGACTTTGTGAGTTGTTTTGAATTTTTGTTTGTTGGTATGTTTTAAAATAAATCCCTGATAAAGGATTGTGTTTGTGTGCTATTTGCTTCTTTCTGTTGAAAATGGAATGCAGCCATAAAATATTAAAATACAAAAATCTAGTTAATTGATAGTTCTAATTAGTTGGGTTCTGGTTAATTGGGATTTTGCTGTATATGAAAAATTTGCTCTCAAAACAATGATCACTCTAATATATGTAGATTTTTAATTTATGTTATTTGAACTGTTAGTTATTAAATTTTAAAGCCCCCTGATAGTGCAGTGGGTAGAGTCAGTGAAGCTTTTAGCAAAGCCTTGAAAATTCTAACCATGCTGATCTTTCTCCTAAAATAAACAAAAGTTTATAGTTTTATTGATTTCTTTAATAATGAACTACCATTAGGAGCTCTATTGCCATCTCACTATCCTTCACTTAGGAGAATTTTATCTTTATCCTTATTTATTACCCCCAATTCACTACAGGAGAAGAATTATTGAGTTTGTTTGGTGGACTGGGTAACTTTTTCACCTGGTACCCCCTACCCTTCATCTTCCGGAAAAGGGAAGTGGTTAATCATGGGAAAGATGTAAAATCCATCCTTTTTCTGACTTTGCTTATTTACTGGGATGTTTGGAAAGTGATCTGAGCCAACTCTCTTGACCTGTTTTGCTCCACTTTTAATTCAATTCAGCAAACATTTATTAGGTACCTACTCTTAAAATAGTCCCTGTTCTCAGGAAACTTACATTCAGGGATAATAGGGGAAAGAATTAAGCAAGACACCTTCTTGGGGTAACAATTCAGATTGGAGCACAATTGAGGCCTGATATTAGGGGAAGGTGGGAGGTTACCTGGAGCTGAAGTTCCAAAGGGAGAGAAGCAGAGGTCCAAGGGCCAGGGTTGAGCTAACCTGCCCTGAGGAAGGGGGATATCTACACATATGCTCAAGCACCAGCATTGTGCATAAAGAATGAATTTGTCACATTTCATTGTTTTTCTGTATTACTTAATTGCTGATATTTCAGAGATGTTGTTTTGTACTATTTGGTGTGGTGGAAGCACTGTCTTATTCTAGTCCTCGCCTACTTCTAACTAGTTGCTCTCTGGGCCATTGATTTCTCAATTTGTAAAATGAGATGGGATTAGAAGACTGTTAAATTCTTTTTAGCCCCTAAAAATTCTTTGATTCCATTTTTTCATTTCAGATATGTGCTTAAACTATTATGGGCTAAGCTTTCATTCATTTATTTTTTCCCCTGAAATGGATTATTAGGTCACTTTATTTTGAATGGCCTTGAATCTCACTGAAGAGGTACCATAGTATTCTGTAGTCATCACACTGTGATCAGGAAACAGAATCATCTGGAGGATCCCACCTTTTATAAGGAAGTCCTCTTTTATTTAGGCTCTGTTCATGATGTTGTCCACCAAAGGTAGTGAGCCATTTTGAGCAGACATTGCCAATTATGCAGACTATGCCAAGCAGTTAGTTGGGCAATTGATTGGTACAGGTATATAAATACACTGTAGCTGGACAGTGATCAGAATCTAGAATCGAATAGGAGAAGAACTTGCTTGTTTTCCACAAACGGCAGTACTTTTGATGGTTCCAAAATGCTCCATGACACAACTGTTGTTTTTTTTTAATCCCAGTGTTCTAAGTGTTATTATATGGTTGTAAATCCTAGAACACAACAATCTCTGAAGATCAAATTTTCAAAGAGCAGTGAACAAATGGTAGACATCAATAGGTGAGAGATTTAAGGGAGAACATATACCAGAACTGCGCAGAATGGGAAGCCCATGTATAAATTCTAAGTACTAGTAGCACTGGTACATACTAGTAGTACTAACATTGATAGTTCTTACATTAATGAACTCATGAGTCTATTGAATTTTGAGTTAAATAGGCTTTATGAGCTAACCTAGGAACATGACCATTTGTAACATTATTCCTATGGAAAAATAAGCTCTGTTCCAGACAACTAATTTGTAAAACAAATTTTTGCCATATAGCTTGTTCCTAAATTGAAAATAATCTGTGACCAGATTACTTAAACTTTGAGATTATTGGATAATAGAAGTTTTACTATTTGGGAAAGCAGGAGAGAA